ACGTAAAATGCATAGATTAAACTTTGTTTTTTGTAATTGCTATTAAAATAAATTAATATTATTTAATTTACGTACAAGTACTGAAGATGGCGAAATACCGTGACGCGTCTGAATTGATAAAAATCAGCAAGGATAGGCAGACCAGGGATTATAGCCAACTATCAAGCAATACGTTTATCATCCCGCAGAACACAGGAGAATAAAACACGTTAAACGATCGTCAGATGTGCTTAAATGAATATAAAATCTGTACCGCATTGTGTTTAGAAAAATTATAGCAATAAATGGTAATTCATTCTTTGTTGGATCGACACATTTCATGTCTCTATTTTACTAAGAACATGCTAATTTTCGTTGTTTTTTTTGAAAACAGTATGCTTGCAATCACTTTATTTCTTCTCCAAACTAACGAGGTACTGTTCCAAAAGGAAAAAGATCTTACTTGATTTATTGTGTTCACTGTAATGACCGTCCCAAGGTGTATTTTGGCCAGACCAAACAATGCTTGACAGTTTATTAAGAAGACAAAAATGTGGCAAAACCGACCAAATTAGGCCAGATCGATACAAACAGAAAATTTCAGTTTGGACCCTAGATTAACCTACAATGTAAAGATGTCACAATTGTAGACATTAAAACAGTGGTAGACACTAATAAAAGAAACAATTTATGTTCAAAAAGACAACAATTCATGCAATGAAACGAACTGCAATAAATTGAGTTCAGTTTATTATAATATAATTAAATGATATTCTGTGATAACCTCACTGTGATATACAACTTAATCCCTTCCATATTCCTTACCATGTCTAAAGAATGAATTATTTATTGTTTTTGTATAGACATGTACAAGTACCATGTTAATTCTATTTATTGTAATGTGTACATTACCCTCTTATTTGGTTGTGAAACAGGTCTATTAAAATAAGAATATTATGTCTATCACATATATACAGGTGTTGTGAGTGGTTTTTTTCCAGGCTGTTACCAACTAATGTTTCTCGTTTTTATCTGAACTAAGCTGTATAAATATTGTACATTTTCAATAAAATAGTTTAACCGTAGAGGACTTCCCTCATGACCTCTATTTAAATTTAAACAGTATATAATGTAAGTTGGTAAATGTAATTATGAGTCCAAAGATAACCAACTTTTATGTTTTGTTACTGTTCTGTTAAGCCCTGATGAAGACCAAATAAAGATGTCGAAAGCTTGGCAATTATACGACACTTGCATCATCATTGACCACAGTCCCAGTACTTTAAAAACATTGTATAACTTCTGTTAGTCCATAATTCCAAACACTACTCAAAATGTAATGTTAAATCACATTTTTATCCCGCTCTACTTGTTTTACGAGAAAGTTCATGGTGGTGCTCCGTTGATTATTTTGGACTAAACCTTTAGATTGGATGTCGTCGGCATGTATCAGCGTTCTTTCACTCCCAGGGCCAAATCTCATTTAAACTTGGCAAACCACCCGTTCACTAGTATCTTACCAACAAATCTATCTTCGACTGAGATTTTTTTCTTCTTTATATAAATAAAACTACGAAAATAGTTTTGTAACATCCTTTTAATAGTATAAATCAATAGAAAATAATTTATAATAAATTAATATTTTCGGTCAATCAATATTAACAATTCAATTGGATGTTATAGCTTACTTTTCCATCTTAATGAGTTTTTCGAATGAAAGCTCTACTGTTCCGTTTGTCTTTTGATAAGAGATTGCTTTTTAGGAAAACACCAATAAATACTAAAATAACAAAGTGTGTTTAGTTAGACTAACAAATCTTTGCGTCTCTTAGCTTCGTTTCTTTTTCCTTTCAAAACCTGGCCTAGTTCCAGTTAAAACTGCAGAGGCATTCACTATCCTCTCTGCTGTCGGACAACTGCACCGTCACTTTTAACTTTCGGCGTAAGCGTACTATGCCGCCAATCACCAGTCGATAAAAAATTTTTTGTATGTATCATTTTTTTATACTATGCCTTAAAACCGTTAAGTGTAAATAGGAAAAGGTTCATTTTTGTGCAATGCGCAACAAAAGGTTTAATTTCTTTTAACATAATTTTCTTAACACGTATTTTAAAATACTGAAAGGAACGTATTTGGGGGCCAGCGGTGACTGAGTGGTTGGGCGTTCGACTCGAATTTGCTACGCTGGCGGTTCAGGGTTCGAATCCCGCAGAGGACAAGGCTTTTTAATTAATTTTAGTATGAAAATTGTATTCTAAATTGGTTTGTTAGTTAATGTGCGGCACCCATTGGATATTTGGAAAAACACCCTCCTGTACGACAGGAATTACTGCACTTTACTTTTTACAACTGCAGAGAACTTTTAACGATCAAATATACAGATTTGTATTGTTTTTGATAATAACAAGAAATAACAGAAAATTAAAATCCTCTAACAGGGATTTTAGGGAGTTTTGCTGCCATTTGCTTGTACAGCGAACATCGTAGGATTTTGTTTCCTTTCAAACTAGCTTTTTCTTTCATGTTCAATGAATAGTGTGAAGTTCACGCCGACTGGTCGAGATATTTCTGTCCCTGCACGATCATTTGAACACAACGGCTCTGGCGGAATTTTCTGTCCTCGTATCATACGATCAGCATTGGTAGAAGAGTGCGAAAAAGGAGCTACAAAAAAGTGCAACTTTCACTATTTACAAAAAAATATGAAATAGTAAAAGGCGTCAACACTGAAAGTCTAGCACCGCGGTTCTGACATGTTTTAGTGTCTGATGAACAGCTAGTGCGTAACAGTGATGCCCCGCCGGCTGTTTGCAGTGCCGTACGTTGTAGAGGGAGCCTGTATCAGTTGTCGAAGAGTAACATGGATAGGTTGGATGCTGGCGTTTCTGTCAAATACGAAGAGTAGGGCCTCGGGCACTTGTGAACCAAGTTCGCGATTGCGTGCTGTTGAGAGGAATGTTGCTTGTGTACTTTTTAATAATTGTGAGAGCCATGATTTAAAGCCCCTACTTAAATCGAGCAGTGCATTATGCTCATTGACTGCTATTTAGATGTAGTGATGACTGCAGCAGTGCTGCACCGGGTGTAAATTTCAGTTAAAATCGTCGTTACGCCAAATTTCAATTTTACATTCAAATTCCTAAGTAGAAAATCCCCGGATATAGCCTTAATACCTTGACCTAAAACCACAGAAACCTTGTAAAGGAACCTTTTACGTTTAATAACCATTTTTAAATCCACATTCAAGTGTTTCTTCTGATTGATTCTGTTTTCGTTCCCATCATTCTATGCCTCAGCAAAGTTGACAGTATCTCATGTGTCTTGGACTTTTCCTACATGTTGATCAGGCTTGCTATCTGCTATTTATTAACTTAAGTACAATCTTATTTAACTGGTCCCTAGTTAGATCTCCGATCGATAGACCAATATAAGTCGGTGTGCCAGAGTGGAGCATTACTTACTAAAACACACAAGGGCACATTACTCTGTTAATAAATTGTGCAAAGCGGCATCGGTGGCCGCAACGGTTTAGCCGTTGATACGGCACTCATCACTGTAAAGTAAAAATCCCAGGTTCGAACCCGACATACTTACAAATGGGCTTTTTTTTCTCAAAAAATCGACACCCCGAGGTTCATATAACTTCGTAGTTAAAATTCCCTCGTAAAAAAATTATGCAAAAAGTGGAAAATAAAACCCAACAAGAAAAAGAGTTACAGTCTACGATATCAACTGAAATAAGGGACTTTAGGTACTGCAAGGCGTACGCAAGAGTTTGCCACAGGACTTCCATAAGTACCAAGACCTAGAACAAAATCTGTTATAATTGTTAATGATCAACTGACATGTGCAAACTTTTACTTTGACCATACGAATAACATACATCCAAGTCATAGCCAAACGTTCCAATCAAAAGTCCTCTGTGAATCCTAATGTTTTCATTTAAAACGACCTCGTTTCGTCGACGGATTGATCCGCTTCCAACCTAACCCCAGCTCTTGCCCACTGTGTCATCACGAGAAAACTAATAATAGATGTCAGTACGGTGACCCGTTAACAATAAAACATTCGAAATATAAGTATTACACTGATAAACAGCTACAAATAAATTAAAAAATAAATTTATTTAATCATCATTAAGAACTCGCCTTTTTAATTTATGAATTTATTATTTTATCATACACTACGGCATCTACTCGGCCTCTGGGCGGCAATGCTGTTCTGTTATTGTTGTCATTGGAATTACGTCCCATCGCGAATTGATTTACAGCGATATGGCTGGCGATATTCCGCATAATTCAAATTGATGAAGGCTATTTAGCCTCAACTAAATTGAATTGATCGTTCTTCTTGATCCAGTCACGAAAACCGCCTATTGTTTCTAATTTTAATTCGTAATGTTTCTACGTGTAATTTAAAAAAATCGTCTTTTACGGTTTATACGCAAAAGATAAAAAACAACATGGCAAGTAAAAATCCAACTACCGACAAAAGTTTGCGGCTTTTCTTTTAAAAACACTAACCTCTCCTAAATGAGTGCCCATATATGAAAACATAACCAGAAGATAAACAACCGTTAATGAATTAGGTAAAATTTCATTTTAACTTTAAACGATATCGTTTATTAATTTTATGAAATGTCAGTTGTCGACAGACTATTTGACCTTTTTGAATGAAGAAATACAATAACTAAAAAATCTTTATGATATTGCATAATATTCGTTTTAACATTGAATACGCCGATTTTAGTTATCGTTTAGATTGCTTGTCGTCGTTTTCCTTTTCAAGCGTCACAGTTCAAAAAAATGTTAATGTTAAGTTTATTAAAATTCAGGATGAAACGAATGCAATAAAAATCAAATTTAACGTAATTGCTTTTTTTTGTTGAAAAATGAGATTCAATTACGCTCCGTTTCTTGACTCGTTCAAACGTTCATCATTTTAAAGAATATTAAAATTATCATTTCACTTTGATATTGTACACATTTAATATATAGATATCGTATTGTTTCTGTTGCAGAATATTCTCGACAAGTTCAATCCTGGCGCTCGTCAGATGATCAACGCTGGGAAGGCCTATTTGAAAGCATTACACGGTAAGAAATTTGTAAAGATTTTCAACGTACTGGTGTTATTCCAGTTTCAATTTTGATGAAACCGGATGAAATCTGGAGGGGGCGACTCCTAAAATCAATATTCAAACGTTCATATCGAAGAAATTCTAATATTTTTAATGAATAATTGTTTTCCTTCGACTGAGTTGTCATTCATTATAGTTACTTTTTCTTCAAAGAAATTGAGGAAAGAGGAAAGATAACTTTTTGGATTTTGTAATATATAAATTATTATGGTGTTCTAATATTGTGTTTCAAAGCTAAACTTCAAATTTTGACATTCACTATTTTATGTATTGTGTAGACGTATCTCTTGAAGAACATCTTTATATTGTTTTCTTCTTTCTTCCCCGGCCGGCTACTCGATGAAAACGAAGCAAATGTTGTTGATGAATAATTTATAAATATGTCGGTCTTGTCACTTAATATACGAAACCCAATTTCTGACTACAATATAATTTTATAACTTTTTATGTGACTATGTAAAGGCATTTATCGGAAGATTTTATTATTTTGTTTTTATTACCCGCAGAGTGGTCTCAACGAGAGGCAGACGGGATTTAGCTTTCCTTTAACCAGTCGGAATTCTTAGAAACCCAGATATGGATCGTAAATAAAAACTCGGTTTATATTCATCGAGTTTTCACCCCCCCGGTGGGGTAAAATTATCAAAACTCTTCCCCTTTTCTGCCGTCTTTCTCGTCCTTGTCCTGACCCCGAGGTAAAGGAACACCTCCCCAGGCCTTGCCGCAATTAGCAGAATTAGCATAAAATTAGAATAAGTAATGATCCCGCGGGGCTTTAGTATAAAAGCGGCGTTCAGTGAGAAGGGCTTGAAATTATAAGCCACTCGTTCCATTTTGTCGGAGAAGTTGTCATAACGGATCAAATTTACACGACGTTCAAAATAATCCGTTCAACAAATTTCCAAGAAAGTACAAATATTTGTCATTAAAGTGAGACAAATTCATACAATTTATTACATTTACAAGAGTGCCTTCATTTATGATTACTCAATATATCCCGTTCGTATCGATTTCTATCAATTTGATACGTTTTTTGCTGTTATGCAAAAAAATACTATTTCGTTTCAAAGCAATCAACACAATCGACTCAAATTTAATTTTTCTTGCTTTAGTACACTTATCCCAAGTTGTTTATTGATTAATACTATAATATCTGGTCGATTAGTAATATAGGTCCGAGCCACTAGAAAAGTCAATAATATTTCCACTACATAAAATGGATAAGAAAGTAGACATCAGTATGCCAATAGCTCAAAGCCGTTGTTCCGTTATTTTCAAAACTAATTGAATGCATAGTAAAAGAACAGTTCGTTAATCACTTGGATACGCACAGTCTGTGGCACCCAAAACAATGTAGTTACAGGAAAAATCACTCAACATCCGATGCTACCGAATCTCTTTAAAACAAATCACAGAAACATTTGTAATAATTTGAAGTAAAAGAGCACAGTGTGGCCACTTTTTATGACCTTGCTGGGTGTGGTTTATGACCTTGCGCTTTCGATTGGGTTTCTCAGGAATTACTATAAAAGCTCGGTTTCTATCATGGATCCAAAGAGTCTCAGACAAATATGGAAAATTTCTTTAAAAAAAGGACCCAGATCTACTACAGTGGCGAAGGATCGGATCCTCTGACACTGCATGTGGGAGAAGGGCAGGGTTCGGGCCCGATTTGTTTTCTGGTTGCTGTAAACGACCTGGCTGCATCTGTCTTTAATGACGGTGCTTTTTGAAAATGATGCAATAGACATTAAATCTTATAACGATATCAAACATGAAGCTAGACAGGCCATATGCGAGAGGTCATGCAGTGGTTTTCTTATAAATAACAATAAAACCGAGGTGGTGTTTACATTAAAAAAAAGTGTTAGGAATATTAAATATTTGGGTTTTTGTCAAATTATAAATCTCAAGGAATAACCATCTCTCTTCAAGGAATAACCATAATAAATCATCTCTCTAAAAAAACTGTCAACATAATTATATGTTATAAGAAAGCTAAAAGCTGAGTGAGATGTAGATGGCTTGTTAATCTCCTATTATGGATTTTTTCATTCATTGGTACAATAGCTTATGGCATTGGTTTATGGGAAATTCAAGCAATTACAATAATTTTCTTCTTTTACAAAAATACATAGCAGGTTTAGCTTAATGAACCTTCCAAACCATTTTTCTGTAAATAAAGAATTTTAATTTTTTATTCACTGTAATTTTTGGTTAAAGTTTGTGATGTACGTTTGAAATTATCGACGCTTAAATAAATGGAGATAAACATTATTACTATCTCAGAGAAAATGACAACATATATTCCAAAATATTCAGTCATGAAAAAACAGCCGAAACGTGACGTGCCTGCTGTGAAGTTTCATAATTTAATTACAAAAGAACTGAGGACGTTACATCATGAAAACATCTGCAAAAAATTGAAAGCGCTTCTTGAGGAAAAATCACTGTACAGTGTATAAGTCTTTAAAACATGTTTTTCCTAAACGTAATTTTTTTTCTATCGTCCTCCATAAATTTCGTCGCAATTAATATTTTTATTAGAATATAAGGGAGCAATTAAACTTTTTTACTACACTCATTGTTTAACAAAAATTATACCTCAATATTAGAGAAAAATATTCACAATGAATAAGAAAATAAAATTCATCCATTTCGCTGATAAAATTATACTCCTGACCTTTCTTGTGAATTTAAGCCTTAATACGTCCTGGAATCGTAATATGACTTTTGACAAAATACATAATTTTGAAGACTTGAAGGCGAGTTATTATTTTAATTAATCCCCAGTGTCGAGACGTATTTTGAGAACATAGTTCGTAAAAGTACATTTGAAAATAATTACATCATCAAAGTTACAACCGAGGATTAATGCTAATCTTATTGTCCCAGCTGTATTAATTACCTCAATAACGTACGTTTTTATTGAATCATAAATTGAATTCCCGCACAATGTTTGTATTGCATAAATCGTTTGTTCGAAAAAGGAAATAAGACTTTAATATCATCGGATCAATATTCTAGGATATACTTGACCGTTGGCGTCCTCATTTCTCCGGGTAGCTTAAGCACTTTGATGCTCCGAATTCGACGAAAAGCAGCGTCTTTTGAAAAGGAGAGAGAGCCTGTTCCACCCATATTAAGAATCCTGTCTACAAACTTGAAAACGGGCCTTGCCAGACTAATTGCCCGGGTACTTTTGAATGGGCAACCGCCGTTTCTTTGAAAATCGGGACAGCCTTCAGGCATTTCCTTCGAATCATTATTAGGTTGATTTTATTCATGGCATATATTCATCGCTATTTCAGTCTTTCTTCAACGAGTTTTCGATATTCTGAATTAAATATTTGTAAACGTTGACAGTTCAAAATTATATTATTAATATTCCCTTTTAAGACTGAATGTCGTTACTTGGGTTTTTGTAATGTAGTCATTTACAAATACATCACTATTCACTGGAATTTATCACTATTCAAATACGCGTTTTGCCGAATTGTCTCAATAAATCCAGGCGTAAAGATAATCACAAGAATGTGGATTATGTGGTCTGCATCTCCACAAAGTTTGCCTGCGTGCGATGAAATATGTGAAAAGTAAGGTTCCCGTGTGGTCGTAAACTATAAAATTGTGATTTTGCCATGTTCAATTTGCAAGAGATCGGTGCTACCCCGACACAAGCGTATCGAAAAATGTACCATCTCACAGTTTATCTTCAGTAAAAAAATGTAACGATAAATAATAATAATAATAATAATAATAATTATATATATAACAAAAATAATAAATAATAGAGATCCAATGGTATAACAATTAATGTGAACGTCTATTTTAATATTTTCTTAATTTTATGAAATGTATTTAAGAGTTTAATAGTCACGTTTGCCTTGATCCATAATTTTAATCAAATTTTATGGACTCTTTTAATTTAACCGTCTAAGTTAAACTTTTTCGACCATTCAAGGTGGTTCTTTGTCAATGAAAGTTATAGGGACAAACTGATTTTTGACGAACGTGTTACAAAAATACACAAAATAGACACTACTTTCTTTTTTATGCGGTAAGCAATACGTTTATCAAATGTGTCCAATTTTTATTATTGTAAGAAAGCTAGAAAAAACTGACATCATAAAGTTGATTATGAAGGCGTATTCCAAGCCTTGTTTTATTAAGATGCAGCTCATACCAGGTTATAAAAATTTCAGTTTTGTCCGAGAAACAAATATTTGTGAAGTCAAAGATTGAATGCACATTTCATAAATAAAAAAGCGAAAATATTTATTATTTCTTTTTGTATTGTAATAATAATAATAATAATAATTATTATTATTATTGATATATTATTATACAATTATTGTACTGACTGAAAGAGGCGTCCTTCGACGACGTAATCAATTGCTCCTAACAAGTCATTTCTTGCTGAACATATTTTCAATTTAGAAGAGGATTATAAAGGATGAATTGTGTGAGACTGAGTTATGGGGGAGAGAGGAATAAAATTAACATTAGCCCCACCCGGAGGCTGTGCGCTCGAACACTGAGCGCGGCGACCCGCCAGCATTAACATATCCATTGTTTCGCATATCGAACTAGAAACACTTTCACAATTACGCCCCGAGGCACCGGTTCTTCTACTGAAGGCGGATATTTTTACTAGGCAAAAAAAAAAATCACTGAAACAGAAAATTTCTCGCTACGATGGACATGACACCGTTTAAGTCACTCATATTTAATATGTGATACAAAGTTTTAGTTTGGATTGGATTTACATAAGCTTATATCTATACATGTATGTGATAGGCATACAGTGCAGAGTTGAGCTTATCACTTCGCGTAGCCCACCGGCAATTCCAGTTTTGTTATTTATATTATAATTATATTTATTATAAATTAACGCCAGAATCACCCACCTTCGAGGGCCGTCCAGGGTCTGACCTTAGCCTGATCCGTCCAGCG